GACATTTCCTCATAAAATGTGTACACAGCCTTCATTTGAAAAATAAAGAAAATTTTAAAACCCTGGAACTAAAACATACTTTACATATTTATCTAATGGAACACTATGGGACTCCTAAAAAGAACACAGTGGCCCTGCATGTGTTATGTCATGGAAAGATAAGTCAGATTAAGAAGTTGGAAAAAAAAACTCAACTATCCAAATATGCAAGTATAAAAAAAGCTGGAAAATAGCATATATACATACAGTGTGATGGAAAAATATGGTAAATGCTTAGATTTTGAAAAATCACAGTAAAAGATCATCACCAATATCCCTGAAAATACTCCCCCTTCCTTCAAATACACTCACCCTATAGGTTTTTGCCGTGTTGTCTTTTTGTGTGTCTCTAATTGCACTGGGGTGACCGGCTGTCTACCTGTCCTAAATTGATTCAAAATGTTTTACTTTTCACTCTCATTTTGACCTTTAAAAGACAGTATTTAAGGTGTATATATTTCCCACAAATCACGTGCGTCCTTTCACTAGGAATGTTAAAGATAAACTGCACTATCTCAGAGGCTGCACATCCTGTGAACATTCAGGATATTATCCTGCTCTTTGGAGGAGAGACTGGCTCAGTCCTCTCTCCACCGGTCCCCAAATGACGTAAAAGTGAGAACTTTGGTTTTAGACATATTTCCTCAGAAAGGCTGAGGCTATAAAACCTATAGTTGAGCAAGTCTGGCCAGTAGCTACACCTTTAGGACTCAACAAAGAATAACCCGAGGTCCCCGCTGCCTCTAGCACCCCAAGCATTACGTTTGGGGAAACGAGGCCTTCAGGCAAGACAACCTTAACGTGACTTTGCCAGTTCGTAGGCCTGCAGGGCACTAGAGGATGGAGAAAGGTGAACCGAGCTACTCTCTGGCTCATTTTCCATTCGCGAATCCTCCGTACCTAAGAGACTTAGAAACCGCAGCCGCCATTTTGCAGGGTGGGCTGCGCAGGGTGTGGGCGCGGAGCCAGCGCGTCTGAGTCGGAGAGGACGTGGATGGGTTGGCGGGGGCGAGCGCGCTACGAGGAAGAAGCAAGCATGCGCAAAGGCGACGGCGGCGGAGGGGTGGGGCCAGAGTACGAGTGCGCTTGCTCAAAGGGAGCCCGTGAAGTACCTGGCAGAGGTGGGGGGCCGAGGTAGAAAGGAGAGGGGTTGAAGAGCGCTTGCGCTCTAGAGCGACTGTGTGGGAGGGGGGATTTGGAGCACGCGCGCTGAGGCGGGACTTGGAAAAATCTCGCGAGATCGCAGGAAACTATATATAATCTCGAGGAGCCCGCGTCCTTTCCCTGGCGTGATTCCGTCCTACGCGGAGGTTCTCTTGGGCCATTAGCTGTATATTTCCGTCCGCGTTCTCTCCCTCCTAAGTGCGTTGCATCACTCCATGGAAGATTCGATGGATATGGACATGAGCCCTCTGAGGCCCCAGAACTATCTTTTCGGTAACTGCATTGAGAGAATGTTAGAACGAGGCGGAGCAGGGCCTGGTGGTTGGGGGGGGGCGGGAATCCAACTGAGGCTTGGGTCGGTGGAGAAAGCTAAGTAGACTGGGGGAGGAGGGTGGAGCGGCCCGAGGCCTGGAGGCTGAGCGAATGGGAGGTGGGAGGCGCGAGCCGGCGGCCTGAAGCCTGGGGCGTGAGCGGCCCAAGGCCTAGAAGCCGAGGTGAAAACCCGGCTGGCTGAAGGGTCGCCTTTTTCTGGGGAAAGAGGTAGATCCCGGTGCATGCGGTTTCTTTTTAGGTGTGTAAGAGTGTAGGATTGTGATAGAAATCGCTGTCGCTACAGCTGGACCCTCGATGAGGTTATGAGGTTGCTGTCGGGAGGGAATAGAGGGAGTCTGGCGTTGTTCTCTCGACTACTAGTGTAGAGTTCGGGGACAGACTTTTGTGGGTGCCTCGGTTAGTTACAGGGGGAGGGGAAGCGCTGCTGGGCTTGTAGAGGCCGCTGGCCCTGGGAGCACGTGGTTGCCACGTGGTTGGGGGAGGGCGGGCGTGTGGGCTCAGTGTACATCCGGGCCTCGCTGGTGTCTTGTCACCTCCGAGCTTGGGGTCCCTTGGCTTGGTTGAGAACTGTTGGATGAGAAATCTTGGGTGAGTTGGGTGGTAGTGCCAGTATTCTGAAGGTCTTTGTTCAGTGCCTACAACATCTTGTATGATGCTAATTCGCATGTTGAGAGCACTTTCTCTGTCTCATTGCCGTAGATGGAAATTGCTCCGTGATGCAGATGACAATACTAGTAAAGCGACTTAACAAATATTACACAGAGTTCAGCAGAATTGGAGCCAACACGCTTGAGTCCAAATGGTGCTCTATAAGTAGAAGTTTTTTTTAATTTGGAGGAAGGAAAATGGAGGCTACTATCTTGAGCGCGGCATGGAGCACAGGGTATGAGAAGAATGCTGCAGGTTGAATTGTACGCCAAGGACTGTAAACTTTGAAGGACAAGGGCTTTCAGGCGACCACCTTCTCTCCACACTCAAACTACACTACATACTTACAAGAGTCCTATTTGGTTTTCTTTCTCGGTAAATTTTATTGTGGAAACCTCCTCTTTGTGCTTTACTTGGACATGTAAATCCTGCCCAGGTTTCATATTGTTGGCTAGCCGTGCTGAGATTTGTTAACTGAGCATTTGAGTACAGTGTTTATGTACCAGTAACTCTTAGCTGCTTATTAAGTGAAACGCTCTCAAGGTCAGTTGTAGTTCTGATAACCTTTAGAATAATTTTTTCATTCATAGAATGGTAGTAGATCCATGCACTCTACATTAAATTTGTTTGTACCCATTTTCAATAGTTAAAATTTCTTATCAATTTAAAAATTTTGTTAACCTTTTCACTTGGAAGCTCTTGGATCAGTTCCTACTAAAGCAATGAGCATTTTCCATCTGTAGAATGGTACTAATTACCTATTTCATTGTAGTGGAGAATGAAATAGTATAACAAGAAAGTGGAATTTATCAAGATTTTTTAATGGGTGTTATCTGGTGTATTTGTGTATAAGAATCTAGAAAGGAGATTCTGCATTGCCCTCTGGTAGCTAGAGTAGTGAAAAACTAGTTCACAAGGTAACCTTCACCTCTTTAGTTTCTAACTCCTAAACCTTGGTGTTATTTTTCTGTTTTACAATTTTCCTTTTCTTTACAGGTTGTCAACTAAAGGCCGACAAAGATTATTACTTTAAGGTGGATAATGATGAAAATGAGCATCAATTGTCATTATGAATGGTATTTAAGCTTTCAAAATAAACTACTTAATATTTAAGTCTCAACCTTTTAGTTCCCAGTCACATGGCTTAAGAACTTGCTTCCTTGACTGCTTACAAGTATTTTTTGTAACAAGGTATTGACTATATCTCACCTCTACACGTATCATGTAGATCTTGGCTTTTGTTCACAGGTCAGTTTAGGGGCTGGTGCAAAGGATGAATTGCACATTGTGGAAGCAGAAGCAATGAATTACGAAGGCAGCCCAATTAAAGTAACACTAGCAGCTTTGAAAATGTCTGTATAGCCAATGGTAAGGACAAGTGAACTTAGAATTTTATGTGGAGGTTTTGATCTTGTTAAAGATGGGTATCAATTAGCTTGCATCAAGGAAATAAGGGGGTATTTTGTTTCTTTGTCCCATTAGTCACAGTTGCATCTTGTGTCAGAGGGGTGAAAATAGGTTTACTAGTTTGGTTTGATTGTATGGGGTTTACCTGTAATGCCTGTTGTAAATGTTTACAGTGTTTAAATTTAAAATTTCCTTTAAGGTTTCCCTTTGGGGCTTTTAAATTACACCTGAGATTTTTAAGTTTGTGGTGTGGTTCAGGGCCTATGCATATTAGTGGACAGCACTTAGTAGATAATTTTATATGGTGTATTAAGCTACTTTTTCTGTTTATTGAAATTGTTTGGTTCCTAATTTGGACTTAAAAGGCATGATTGGTTCTAGTATTGCTGTCTTTATAATATGTTCAGTTGGGGTTATAGTACAGTAATTTCCTGTCCTACCAACAAGTTCTATTCTGGGAGAATGTTCTGAGTCATGTTTGTTCATAAGTCTGCCAAATTGAGTCTTATACACCTTTGATACAAATACACAATGTAAAGAATAAAAAAGCCAAACATGCATATAAAAATATTATAAGGAAATTTTTTTTACTTTTACAGTTACCTGAAAATGGTGTTATAGTACACTACAACACCTAGCATATAGCAGATGACATGGAATGATCTGACAAAAGAGAGTTACTAACTGGAAGAGTGAGAGTAGGTGAGTGATGGTGAAGCTGAAGGATCATCAGCAATAGACAGAAGGCAAGGTGGAATTTCACTCACACCTGATGTTGATGACACAGATTTTTTGATGGATTCAGATCTGTTTACCCTCTTGAAAAAAGTGATCCAGTGATGTCTGAGTAATCGCTCTTTTTTCTCATAGATGACTGTACAGTAAGCACACAGCAGCACAACTGATAATGTCCGGCAGATTGTGAGCTACTCCGTGATGTTCCGTCTCCCAGTGTTCATAATGTGAGGTCTGTGCAACTTGAATATTCACAAAGTCTGGGACTTAGCTGTACTGTGATTATATCTGGAACGGTCTGGTTTTGGCAGTGAACATTATCTCCAAAGAATTCATTTTCAACAAATTTTCCCATTTGCTATTTTTTTAAATAGAATCTTGTTATTTTAAGTACTTAATGTTGTATGTTAGCAGTGTTCATTGTTTTTTCTGATTTCTTGCTTGTTGGAGTTTCATAGCATCTTTATTTTAGCTGTGCAGGGAGATGCAGAATCAGATGAGGAAGACTATGTCTGGAAAGCTATCTAATCTTGGCGATGGTAGTAAGGTTCTGTAGGTGGAAATAATTTTACTACAAATTGTGTATTCTAGCTTTCAGTTGGGGATTAAGATTGGATCCTACCCATAATTATGTATTTTTCTTTCAGAAAAAAATAAAATTTGCTGCTGATATAGAAGAAGATGATGATGATGACAGTGATGAACAGTAAGTACTGTACTCTAAGGAATTGACATGCTTATATACATGGGTGAGAATTTTAGGAAATTCTTTTACTAGGTCCTCTAAATAGTAAGTGGCTGTTAGTTGAGTTTGAGTTAAATAAGTGGAGCTAAAAGTATGCTGGGAATATGAGATATGAAAATCATGCTGTGCATTATGAATCTTCAGAAGGGTAGGGTGTGCAGGCAGCATTTCTGAAATTTACTTGAATACCTTTCTCTTGATGAAACTAAAGATTTGGCCTGTGGTTCCATGACTCCTTGTTGACAGAATGTGATTCTAAAAGGATGTTGAACTTTTCTTGCCAATTTAAAACATGGTTGGAAACAAGAGTCAGTGTGTTTGTTGCACTAGATCAAACTATAGTAATTAACAGTTACACAATAGAATAAAGTCCTATTCTTAATTAGTCTTACAACAATATCAGTAAATTCCAGTACCTTTAATTTTCTGCTTTGTCCCTAAGGATTTACATTTTTTGTTATGCTTGTCTAAGTAGTCTTTGAGTTGAGTGTAATAACAAGGATAAAATGTAATCCTTTTTTTAATGCAGCACCAGAGATTGAACTCAGGACCTTGTGCTTACAAGGCAGGCATGGTGCCACTGAGCTACATCCCTGGCAGAAAAAATGTAAATACAGATCATACTAAGGTCCAAATCAGGTTTTTAAAATAATAGACACCTTAAGGATGCATTAGTTTGTGTATCAACACGTTCTTAAGAATGTATCTCACTTGATAGTGTATGATTGTATTGATATATGTGGCCTTCTTAAGTGTCCCTTTTTAAACTTTGATAAGGAATATCCTAATAGATAAAGCTGTTGGTCCATAGTGGTTTTTTTATAAACCTTTGTCATGTTTTTTTTTGCGGGGGGGTACCAGGAATTAAACTTGAGACCTTACAGTTGAGAGGCAGGCAATGGAACCACTGAGATAAATCCTCAGCCTGCCTGTCTTTCTTTCTTTTTCTTTTTTGTTTTCTTTGTGTACTGAGGATTGAACTTGGGACCTTTTTTTTTTTTTTTTTTTTTTTTTTTTTTTGTACTCAGGACCTTGCGCTTGTGAGGTAGGTGCAGTGGCCCTGAGCTAAATCCCTGGCACTCGTGTTTTTTTCTAATACAGTAAATCCCCAACTTACAAATATTGAGTTGTGAACTTTCACAGACAGGAACGGACCTACCAAAGAGATTCACAACACAGAAAATGGCAAGGGGTTTTTCTTTACTTGAAGGGGCACTATTAGTTTTTGAGGTACAGGACTGCAATGTAGAACTGATACACAAAGGTCACAGCAGCCGTGCAGAAAGCCATCCAGGGCTGTAGAGTCGTCTATGATAAGAAAAAAAGTGCTATTACTCAGACATTACTGGATCACTTTTTCAAGAGGGTAGACAGAATTAAATCCATCAAAAAACCTATGTCATCAACATCAGTTGTGAGCAAAATTCTATCTTGTCTTCCATCTATTGCTGATGATCCTTCAGTTCCACCATCTCCTACCTACCCTTCCTTCTCCAGTTAGTAACTCTCTTTGCCAGTTCACTCCATGCAATCTACTATATGCCAGGTTTTGTATTTTTAAAGTAGCTGTAAAAGTAGAAACAATTCACTTACAGTTGTATTGTACCACCATTTTATTGTAACTGTAAATGAAAAATAGTTTATTTAAAGTATTTTTGTGTGTGTTTGTTTTTTATGCTTTTACATTGTGTATTTGTGTAAAGGTATGTAAGAAGACTTACTTTGTCAGACTTACAAAGAAATCTGACTTTGGAACATTCTCTCTAAACAGAAGTTGTTCATAATTCAGGGACAACAGAATTTCCCTGAGAACTTACTACATAAATTGGTACACTTTTGGATTTTTTGGACTAGTTTAGAAAAGAATTTTGAATTCTGGACTCTGCCCTCCAGTAATTTCGATTTCCCTTTTCCCAGGAATTTACCTGTTTAAAGTGTATTAATTTGAAGGGTGGAGGGGATGAAGAGAGGATGGGGGTATGGGGGAAAACATGAGAACCAAAATTTGTCATGCACAGGTACAAGATCCCAATGATGAATGTAACTGTACTGTATACTTTAAAAGTACCAATAAACTCAATAAAAAAGAAAAAAATATATATATAGTATATTAATTCATTGGTTTTAGTGTATATTCACAGTTGTATAGCTATTAACACAAATTTTGAACATTTCGTCACCTTAGAAATACTGCTCAGCCATTAGTGAACTTTGAATGGATTTGCCTGTTTTAGAAACTTGACATAAAGGGAATCATATGGTCTTTGCTGCCTCCAGTCTGAGGATTTGTAGACATGTTTTCTTTGAGAGTTTATAGCTGGAGCAGAATTGCTATCGTAACTCTAGGTTCAACTTTTTTTTTTTTTTTAAACAGTACCCGGGATCAAACTCAGGACTTTGTGCTTGCCAGGCAGGCACAGCACCACTGAGCTATATCCCTAGCTCTAGATTCTACTTCTTAGGAACTTGCCAACCTCGTTCTCCAAGAGTGGATGAACCATTTCATTATACTTGGACCAGCAGTGAATGGTCCAGAATCAGCAGTGATTCTTATTTGTCCATATCTTAACGTTTGCCTTTATTTTTGTGTAACAGTATTCCTAATGATGTGAAGTACTTTCTGATTGTGGGTATGATTTTCTGTTTGCCTGGTGATGCGTAATTTTTGGTGTGTGTTGCAGTGGGGTTTGAACTCAGGACCTCCTGTGTGCTTAGCCCTGAGCTGTTTGCTCAGCTCCCTGATGACTAAGAATGGTCAACTTTTCATGCATTTATTAGATATTTGGTGTCTTCAAAGCAAAGCTTGTTACATCCTCTGCCCATTTTAAAGTTTGGGTACTTAAGCTTGTGAGTTATAAGAATTACCTACTTCAATAGGTATCTTAGTAAATTTGATTAAGGAGTATTTTGTCCCATTCTGTGAATTGCCTATACTCTCTTGATGGTGGCCATCACACAAAGTTAATTTTCATGAAATGCACTTTGGTGTTTGTACCTGGTGTCAAACTAAGACATCATGGTCAGGTCCACTAATTTGCAAAAGTGGCTACCTGTTGATAGATAGACTCTTGACATTTTCCAGGCCTTGACAATTGCAGTTATACTTTTTGAGTTGTTACTTTAGATGCCTTGCAAGTAGAATCATACTGTTTATCCTTTGGTATATTTCACATAATGTCCTGAAAGTTTATTCATGTTGCAACAAATAGTAGAATTTATTTTAAGGCTGAATACATTCTATTATATGTGTGAAACATAACATTTTTTTTTTTTTTTATCCAACTGTTTGGGCTGTTTTCACTTATTGGCTTTTGTGAACAGTGCTGCAGTGAACATGGGTACTCAAATCTCTTATATCCCACCTTTAGTTCTTTTGTCAAGTTTCTCGAAATTTGGAAAGTTCTTATTTAATTTGGAAATAATCTTGGCTTATTTCATTTCCAGTAATGATGATGATTTTGATCATGATCATGAAGAAACTGAGGAGAAAGCTCCTGTGAAGAAAGTGAGTAAAATAAAATTATTAAAAATAGTTAATAATAAAAATGATGGAAGGGTTTTTTTTATTGCTTTTTCACTTATTTATAGCTAATGAAAATTGGTGTGAGCATCTCATACTGAATTGTTCTGAATTATGACTTTACTGAGAACTTTTAGTTTGGAATTAATTTTTTTAACCATGGTGTGGGGAAACATTTGAACTGAGAATATCTCATGTAACAGGGACACTGATTCAAATTCATTTCTAATAGCAGTCAATACCAGATACTCTGGCCGAAAATACACAGAAATCAAACCAGAATGGAAGGACTCAAAACTATCAATATAAAGATCAAAAGTAAGTGACATCATACACATTAAAAATGTACTTCATTGTGGGCCGGGGATTTAGCTCAGTGACTCCACTGCCCTGCAAGTGCAAGGTCCTGAGATCAATCCCCAGTACCAAAAAAAAAAAAATATATGTGTGTGTGTGTATGTATGTGTATATATACACGCACACTTCATTGAAATAGGATAAAACTGGAAATTGTACCATAGTGCCATGTTCAGAAAGTACTAGCAGCACCAGACAAAGACAAGTTGCAACTCATAGCTGCAACTGCTATAAGCCAGTCAGTGTGCTGCCATGGATATATGTGTATATCTGTATATACATGCATATATGTGCTTAGGCTGGCTACAGGTTTTGTTGTTTTGTCTTGTTTATGGTGCATGGGATTGAACCCAGGACTCTACCACTGAGCCACATCCCCAGCCCCTGGCTATGAGTTTTAAGACATGCATTTTTTCACTCATACAGGATTTTTACTTTAAGTTTTCTTATAAAAAATTGAAATTTAATATCTAAGATTTAGCAAAGAGATGTTCTAATTAAGAGACTGAGATTCTTTTGGTGTTGTGCTATCTTCTTGGCGTTATTTGAATGTGCAGTTTGTAAATAATTTATGAAAAGAAAAGCAATGATACATTTATTTGCTTGGACTGGCTGTGATTTTAGCGGAAACCCCAAAAGGTAGAAAATGCATTCAGATGCCTTTTTCAGAGCAGGGCAAAAGCTGGTGGTCAGTGGAAAATTGCTCTTTGCTGTGGTGGTCAGCAAATTCAAGAGGAACTAGAGTTGAGAATACTGGCTACAGATTGTTGATTCAGGGAATATCCAATTTTATATTGTTAACTGACTTTAGCTGTTTTTGAAATAGTGATAGATTTATATGGAGTGCTTCATTTTTTTCATTTTGTGTTTTTATAGACTCCAATTCTTTTTTTTGGGGGGGTACTGGGGATTGAACTCAGGCCCTTGCCGCTTGCGAGGCAGGCGCCGGAACCACTGAGGTAAATCCCTACCCTAGATTCCAATTCTTGAATACCAAAAAGTGACTAAAGCAAAACTGCAAATAGATTGTGGAAGATCATTCCAAGAGATCTGGACAGTCATTTGAAGTGATTGAACACAATGGGAAAGTGTTATGTATTCTATGTGATAAAAGTGTTGTGTGTTGCACATCATATGACAATATTTTGACACCAACCATAAAGTGTTGCCAAGCCCGATGAAACAGAAAAAAAAGCATTTCTTGTAGGGAAATTGAGGAAATAATCATTGCTAGAATTTTGCAGCTCCCTTTCTAAAGCAAATTATTTTGACAGCTGCCAGTTTCAAATTTCACTGTGCATAGCAAAACATGCCAAGCCCCTTTCTAATCGGAATTTTATCACAATGGCCATGTTGCCAGGGAGTAATTTCCCTTTACTTGATTTCCTAAACCAGGGTAAAATTATGCAGTGCATCTCGAGATGCCACTTAGTTGAAATACTGTTAAAGATCAAGTTCTGTGCAAAGCAAGTGGTGTTAATCAGCAGCTCACCAATGACGTACAAAAGACAGCCATGAGATTGGATGAAAGTGCAGATAATGATCATGCAAAGGTAGCAGTAATTCTGTATTTTGCTGTTGGTGACATTATGAAAGAAGACCCTGGTGAAACTAGTGTCTTTGTGTGGAAGTACATAGGGATAGATATCAACAGTGCTGTGATGGAGGCTTTTTTTTTAATCGCAAGATCTAAGTCCAGAAAAATGGTTTCAATTATTAGGGATGGCGCATCTTGTATGAAAGCAACATCTAGTTTTGGACAATTCTTTGTTAAAGAAGCAAAACAATCATTCACTTTCATTGTATTATACATCAAGAAGCTCTTTGTGAGGCCAGGCATGGTGGTGCACACCAGTAATCCCAGCCCTCAGGAGGCTGAGGCAGGAGGATCGCTTTGAGTTCAAGACCAGCCTGGGCTACATAGTGAGTTCCGAGTTCCAGGTCATTCTCAACTACATGGTGAGACCCTGTCTCAAAAAACCAAAAAAAAAAAAAAAGAAGAAGCAGCTCTTTGTTCCAGAGAAAGCAACAAAAAATTAAGACAATATCCTCAAAGATGTCACAAAAATGCTGAATTACATTATGGCTTGTGCTCATAATTTTTTGACAGTTTCAAACACTTGATGAGATTCAGGCACAGTATAATGCTTTACTTATGTACAATAATGTCTGGTGACTGACCAAAGGATTAAGTCCTGGAAAGAGATTCATAGCCTGCTTGGATGAAAGTAGGGTGTTTTTTTTTTTGGAACTGGGGAGATTGAACTCAGGACCTTGTGCTTGTGAGGCAGGCGGCAGAACCAGAAAGTAGGATATTTATGAATGAAAACAGGCAGGATATCCACAGCTCACTGATATGGCCTGACTTAACAACCTCATGTTTTTGTTTGTTTGTTTTTTTTTTTTTTTTTACAGATTTTACACTACATTTTAGTACACAGGACAAAAAACTACAAAGAATAGGGAAAACAGCAGAAAGGATGTTTTATGATATCAAAACATTTGAGAGAAAACTTCACATTTTTGAAAGAGACCTTGAAACATCAATTGAAATACTTTCCAAATCTAAAAATGCATTTAGAAAGTTCTACATTGCAAACAATCCTACAAGCTATCAGGAAATCTACGGGAATTTTCTAGCATTGGAGCAGCTGCAAAGGAGAATTTTAGTAACAGATTTTTACAGTTTTGTAAGATGGAGACAAACCTGTGTTTTCTTACTGCTCCAGAAAAAGCCAATTTGAAGAACTTGATCTTTCCTGCTTACACTGGTTAGATTTTGGAAATCTGGAAATGGAGCTATTGGAATTTCAAGAAAGCTGTGTCTGGAAAAGCAAATTCTGTGACCTGCCTGAAATACTAGTGAAGATAAAGTGTGAAGAGATGACAAAGGACAGCACAGTTGGGAGTTCTGAAAATGAAACCCTTAAGTGTACAATTCTGTGTGAAATAATTTTAAGTCAGTGAAAGCACTTGGGATTGCTTTTCTTTGTTTGGATTGTCTCAAGTTTGTGAGAAGCTGTTTGCAGCTTTGAATTATATCAAATCATATACAAGAAATAGACTGAAGGATGATGTGATTGCTGCATGTGTTGGTCTCTAACAAAGCATGGGCCAAGGTATGACAGACTTATCAGCATGCACACCACGGTGAAGATTACATTAATTGTGCAGAAGCACGACAAATACAAACTCACATTTCCATAAAAAGTTGTTTGTATTATTGGAAGCTCTGTTACCATGTTTTTGTTTTTGTTTTAGGAGAAAGATGTTAATGTATGTGGCTTTTTTTTAAAGGAAAACCTTGGTATTTAAGTTTTAATTGCACTGTTGACACTGATAAAAAACTGCGTTTTGGTTTGTAGATTGGGCACCCAGCCTGTGGAGAGTTTGCCATCACTGGCCTAAAAGAACAGTCTAAGTATGTTGGGTTCACTACTATCTTGATCTTATGGTCTCAGGCAACCACTGGGGATATGGTGAATGTATCCCTGGTGCATAAGGGGAGATGCTGCACTTATGCCTGTTTTACGTATTTGAAGTTTCTTTATCTTTTTTTTCCTATCTGCATTTAAAAATCCCAGACATTAACTGTAGTACTTAATACAAAAAAGAAAGCAAGCAGGCAGGCTAATAGAAGGCCAAGCCAGCCAGATGGCCTCTTCTGCTGTAACCTCGAGCTTTTGATCTAGAATGACTAGGACTCAAGAGCCATTTGAGATAATCTCTGGGTTGACATGCTGTCAAGTTCACACACATACTCCCACTGCCATGCTACAATAGCTATGACTGTGAGGTCGCAGGTGACAATTCTTTTGCATTCAGAGGAGACAAAAAGTCTCTTGATTTCTCTTAATGAATTTGTATATTTTCTATGTATTGAAAATAATATAAAATGCCTGTGTCATCTTTCCTCCTCCCCTAACCCCTTTTGCCTGCCAGAAAATTCCCAGGCAAATTTTAAGCTCACTTAAATATTATACTTCTTGGCTGTACGTTTTTTTGTTTTGTTTTGTTTTGGGAACCAGAAATTAAACTCAGAATCTTGCACTTCCCAGGCAGGTGCACACCACTGAGCTATATCCCCAGCAGAGACTGCATATTATATGCTCTGTATGTTAAATGTCCTTTGGATTTGGTTTTTTATTTCTATTACGTGTTCTTTGTTCTCTGTTTTTTAGGTTAGATTGATTTTATTGCATATAGGCTAAAATGATATTCAGAATTTTCAATGAATTTTTTCCTCCTTACATTTCTTGGTCCCCCTATACTCCCTCTAGAGTCCCCCTCATTCAGTCACCAGGACCAGGTGGCATCCTTGCCCCAGGGAGGGATGTCACAGTAGAAAGATGAGAAGAATCTTTGTGTCTCAAAACCCAAACCCTGAGGGACTACTGGCCTGCACTTTAGATTTGGGAGAGGAAAAACACAAACACACAGAGCAAAGCTGGCTGTAGGTTTGAGGCTGGAGAAGAGAGTACAGTAAAAGGAAGTTGGGAGGGAAGAGCAGAAAACCCAGACTGGGATAGAAATCTGTCCTAGAGAGGCTGGTGCCGTTTCCCAGTCCAAGCCCAGGGAACACAGCAGCCCAAGTCAGAAATGGCTGTGAACACAGCAGCCCAAGTCAGAAATGGCTGTGTGATCAGGCAGATGAACCTGCACCCAGCTGCCAGAGTTCCCTGCAGCCCAGAAGGAACAAGGGCCATCCAAAATGACTCCCATATGCCCCAGAGGGGTTGCTCAGGGAGAGTAAGTGAGGGGACTTAAGTTGAGAATAAGGACCATGTGATAGCATCCTTACCAAGACCAAAGTAAGCTGCTGGCCACCATCCCAGATGCCAGCAGCATGGACAGCGGTGAAGACAAGTGTTGGGCTTGCCTGGACATCTTGTAGGCCCCAAAACAGATCAAATCAGGGAAATGGTAAGTTGACTGAGGTGACCATTCTGCCCACTTGGTAAAATGTCACTCATGAAAGAAACTGAGTTGCCTTGTAGAGAAATAGCTGTGTACCTTGTAAACCTGAGTTTGCCCCCATCCATACTCTGAGCCCCTCAATGGAATGGAATGAGAAAACATCAAATAAGGCAGCAAAGAGCCTTCTTCTGAAATTAATCCTTTCTTGGAGGCTTCCCAGGACAGACTGCCTCCTTGGGATCGTCCCTCTGATAAGGATTGAATCTCCCCAATCCAGGTGCAGCTAGATCTACCTTCCACATTGCAAAGGGCCGGGAAGCCCTCAGACTCACTTTGTACTTCTTCCTTGGTAGCTGATGCTTCTGAATCAGCTGGAGCTGCCACCCAGCACAAAGGGCCTGGAAGCTTTCCAGGAGCTTCGGGAAAGGAGTACATTATGTCGAAGATTTTTGGCCTTTGTAGCTAATATCATCCTTAAATGCTATTTGAAATAACAAATTCCAAATGCATGAATGCTTGTGTGACCTTGAAAACTTTTGCTAGTTGCAAGCCCAAGCTTTATTATTTCACGAGTGAAGACTGGTTTTGTTATCTGTTGCGAGTTGTCTTACCAGTCTGACCGTTACTTTACCTGTCTTTCAAATGAGCATAAGAATAATTTCTTCATGGGGGACTGACTGATACCGAACAGATGTTCACAAAGCCCCAAAGGATCACCGTGACAGGTCCCTCCGTAGGACGCAGATCGCTGTTATGTAATAATTTTGGCCTTCTAGTTTTGATTGAAAAATGATACATGCGCATCTATGTGCACAAATGTGTCCGTGCTGATGGGGACACGGGCTCTTGAGACAGCGCCATCCATGCAGAGTGGAAGATGGGGTCCCCGAAGCAATACTCCTTCCCAGTACCGTGTTACACGCAGAGAATGATCGGGGGAGGCGGGGCTTCATTTTTTAAAATTGAGATGTCCGTGTCCTTTGAGTGCCAACATCAGTGGTGAAGGACGCCGTGGCCAGTGCAGTAAGAGGCAGTGGAAGCTCACGGTGCTGGCCAACTTGGCTGTGCTGAGTCTCTGGTGCCCTCTGCTGTAATGTGGGAAACAAACACTTCTTCAGGGAGCCATAAATGTCTGCAGAGAAGGAAAACAGAGTGCTCTTTACTTCTCACAAGTTTCCACCTGACTTACTTAACACGATGTCCTGTACTACAGCACAGCAGCGTCACTGTGGTTTATAAGAGTTCATTGTGTATTATGTGAGGAACTAGGAGAGATGACTTCAGAGGTTCCCCTAAAGGGATGATATGGGTTCAAGGAGATGGGAATGTTGATTGCTTTGATTTGATCATGATGCAGGTACAGAATTATCACACTATAGTGCATATGCATGGGAAAGGATTATATGTCAATATATAAGAGTTTTCAGCCAGGTTAAATGGTACACACCTGCAATCAGCATTATAGGAAAGTGTAGCAGCAAGATTGCAAGTTTAGATAATTATTTTTCCCAGGAATCAAACTTGGGACCTGATGCCTGCCAGGCAGACACTGTACCACTGAGCTATATCCCCAGCTACTTGTCTCGGTAAACAAAAGAAAAAACTTGAATTTTGAGTAGTACTGTTTTGAGGTTTCTATTTTGGGTATTTGTCTCTCCCAACCTGGTTATCCTATTATATTGGTTCCAAAATTAGAACCTTAATATATTGGATCAAAACAGGAAATAGACTAAATGTTTTGGAGTCATCTAAGGCAATGCTCATGTTGCTGTTTTCTGAGGGTTGGTTTTTCATTCTAAAAGTTGTTTATTTCTTGCCCATTGGGAAAAAGAAAGCTTGTTTTGGACTGAAGTGTGGAGCTCTGGTTGGGTTTGTTCACTATGTGTGTAACTTTCTTTTTTCTTTTGAGTTTATTGGTACTTTTTAAGTATACAGTCCAGTTACTTCATAATTGGGATCTTGTACCTTTACATGACAGGTCTTGGTTCTCATTTTTCCCCATATCCCTGCCTTCCCTTCACCCCCTTGCCTGTGACTTTCTGTCACATGTCTGAAAGGTCCAATGTTCATTTACTGTATAAGTGAAAAATACATGTGCCTATTAATGACAATTCTAGCACTCCAGGCCCCAAGTAAGGCACAGTTAATATAATCTCGATTTAGATGACACTCAGGGGAGCAAAAAGACAATTTGTGTAAGGAAAGGAATAAGAGGCAGCACACATTTAACAGGAATGTTAATGTTTACTTGTTGCCACACTCGGTATCTGGGAGGCTGCACAGTCACTAAGCAGAGATAACATCCTCAATTTAGTAGTGGTGGCGGGGGATTTGGTGATGTTTTACTGAGAGAAGCTACTGAGATTTTACTCTAAGAATAATTTTTAAAACCTGAAAAAAATTCAAAGAAAGGCCCTGGGGAGGGGGGAGTGGGGAACATTTCTGTTTAGGGAATCCTAATATTTTGGCTGAACACATTATGTTAAGTTAAATACTATTTTAAACCAAGGAGATACAGTAACTTAAGTTTATGTGAGCTCAAAGAAGTAGAGAAATTAACTCTCCTATAGTGACTTTCAGCCAGACATCCAGGCAGACTCCCATATCCCACTTTTACTCTGCCCTCACCTGCAACTCACTGAAGACATGAAGGAGAAAATGAGAATGTGCACTCTGAACTCATTAAACCTTAGAATGAACCCAGGGAGTAGGTATCAAGAGTTGTCAGGCTCTTTTCCTAGCTGTGACCATGGGCTCCAAGAGGCCTGGGGCCTCACATCCAGGGCCATCTAGATATGTGAGAGACAAGTGCAAAAACAACAGAACCACCATCTCCCAGGCGCATCTGGAACCTCTCCTGCCCCAGAATGCTCTCTCTGCTCTACAGTAAGAGGCTGCACTTTGGGAGGCAGCGGTTTCTCTTACTGCTCGGTTACTAACGAGATGTTAACACTTTGGAGTTGCAGGAGAATTGCAGTGGAAGGTGTGTGGTAGCCAGAGATGTACAATGAGTGTTTAAAGGATAGTGACTTTTACAATTAATTGTCACCTTGAAGGCGTTTTCAGTCACATAATGAAATAAGTTTTGAAGAGAAGAAATTAAGAAACGACTGTATGTGCCGGACATAGTGGTGATGCAGTAGTCCCAGCCATTGTGAAAGCTAAGACAGGTTCCCCCGAGCCAGAAGTTCAAGACCACCTGAGCAATATAGTGAGGCCCTATTCCCAAAGGGCAGGATTACTATGTGATTTCTGGTGGGTCATTTGAAAGGAACTTTCCTTGAATAGTAAGTTTCCTCCAACTGAATAAAATCAAAATGCTGTGTCAAAAGGCAACACAGACAGTGTGTATTCCACGGTCGAAGTCTGACTTTCAATCATTTTCCATTGACTTTGCCCTTTAATGGACTGTTCTGTAAAATTTTTTAAAAGTCATTTAAAAACTGTTTAGATTGTAGTGATATCTACTTTTCCATAGATTCTGACACAAAATAAGCAGGGTTATTTAATACTTGAGGGGAAAAGAAAAGAAAACTCAGGACATCTTCAGATAGAGTTGAGAGAAATGTGGTCAGAAGCTTATTTGAAATTAGAATATTCAAGTTATAACTTGGCAAGAAGGAAGCAGTTTAAATAATTAAAAATGAGGAATGAGCGTCTATGGCCATTTTTGTTTCAATCGCCACAAGCGAGAAGTACATTTTAAAAATAGATCACCAGGGCAGAGGAAGTGTTTCTGACCGGCACTTCCTGGCAGGATTCTAGAAATTCCAATCATTTAACAAATTGCACCATTAAAAGTCGTAATAGGTCTAAAAACAATTCTTAAAAGGACTTACTAAGTAATTTGACCTACATAATCGTCTTGTTAAGTTCATTTGATATCATGAGACAGTGAAATATGCATGGCACATTACATTAAATATAAAATAATGGGCCAGGGCAGTGGTTCTGCCACCTGCCTTGAAAGCACAAGGTCCTGAGTTCCATCCCTGGTACCAAAAAAATAAAGAAAACCCAACAAATATAAAATAAGTTCACTTGATAACTGTTGTGTACTCTGAAATCATAGCTATCAGTTGATTCTAAAACTAGAAATGATTTGATTCAGTTACTGTTATATCATTTTACTTTGGCCAGGCATTGTGGTGTATGCCTGTAATCCGAGAACTCAGGAGGCTGAGGCAGAAGGATCACCACAAGTTTGAGGCCATGTGAGGATACATAGTGAGTTCAAGGCCAGCCTGCACTGCATTGAGAAACCCTGTCTCAAAAACTTTAAAAAATATTTTACTTTGTAACATATAGAAGTGTGAAAATGACACATCTGCTATTGCTCATTAAGAAATATTTGATGAAAGATTTCTTTTTTTAAATTTTCTGGACCAGGGATCAAACTTTGGACCTTGTGCATGTGATGCAGGCAGCAGAACCACTGAGCTAAATCCCTGGCCCCCTGATGAAGGATTTTTATTTATTTGCATAGACAGTGGATTATGGGGCGATTGAAGTGATGATGTGGCTGCTATACTGTCAAAAGTATAGTTCTAATTCAATAGCAAGACAGCAGTCAGTCTCTGAGTTCATCTATGTCTAAACACACTAGCTTTGGCTTTTTAGAAGGATCTTCTAAGGGCTGGGGATTTAGCTCAGTGGTTTGGTGGCCTGCCTTGCAAGTGCAAGGACCAGAGTTCAATCCCTGGTACCAAAAAAAAAAAAAGATCTTCACAAATTCTTATAGTTGTGCATTATCAAAAACAACAACAAAAATCTCACAAAGTGACTTTTCAATTGTAAATTTATTTTCTATCTTCATGGAACCTTGTATTTCATTCTTTGTGTTCCTACCATCACAAATCAATAACCAAGAATTCATGTGACTAATCTTTGTGGGAAACACAATATTTTCATAAGAAAGAAATTGAGGGGAAAAAAAGGTTAATAAAGAATTCAAAGGCAGAAGGGAACTAGCATTTATTGAGTACCTTCTGCCTACCAGGTATTGTGCTACTTGTTTTCTAAATACTATCAGTCTAACTCATTTAATCCTTGTAAAGATGCAAAGTGAGAAAATACATTTATTTTAAAATGAAATTGTACAGAAATTTCATTTTTTTTTTAGCAGTACATGTCTTTGAGCTGAGGACCTTCACAAGGAGCTATGATTCCAACCTTTTTTGATTTTTAATTTAAAAAGTATTTTTATTTGGTGCATGTTTGCATTTCATGCAGTTTATATCTTTGGGAATTGTTTCATCTACATACCACAGCTTATTTCTTTTCAAAATATCCTCCTTCCCTTTCCCTCCAACTCCCATATCCTATTTTTCTATCTTGTTGATATTAATCTTAGCTTATGTTATGGCATATATTTATATTAATGGAGGTTATTAAGTTCCTGTACATGGCATATCTTAATTCTTATTTTTCCTTTCCCTTGTCCTTTCCTCTCATGCTTTCTCCCTTGGACCAATTTCTTTTTCTTTTTTATTTATTTATTTTTTGAGTTTATTGGTACTTTTTAAGTATACAGTACAGTTACATTCAGCATTGGGATCTTGTACCTCTACATGACCAATTTTGGTTCTCATTTTTTCACCATATCCCTGCCTTCTCTTTGTCCCCGTCTATCCATTCTTATTATTGTCATTGTAATTTGCATCATTCAAAGAAGAGATATTACGTGGTATTTAAGCTGTTGTGTCTGGTTTATTTTATTCAACATAATATTTTCCAAATGCATCCATTTCCATACAGATGTCTCAAATCTGTCATTCTTTATAGCAGTTTGGTATTCCATTACACATAGATACCGCATTTTCTTTATCCCATCTTCTGTTGATGGATATACAGGCTGTTTCCAGGATTTAGCTATTGCGAGTTGTGCTGTTGTATAAATACATTGATATGTATTTATCACTGTAGTATGCTGCCTTAAGTCTTTGGGGAAGATACCTAGCAAGGAGATTTTTGGATCATATGGAATTTCTAATTTCAGTCCTTTAAGAAATCTCCATACTGCTGGGTGTGGTGGCGCACACCAGTAATCCTAGTACTTGGGAGGCTGAGGCAGAAGGATCGTTGTGAGTTCAAGACCAGCGTGGGCTACATAGTGAGTTCTAGGTCAGTCTCAACTACACAGTGAGACCCTGCCTCAAAAAAAAAGAAATCTCCATACCGATTCCCTGATAGTTGTACTAGTTTACATTCCTACCAACAAGGAAAGAGGGTTTCTTTTTCACCTCAACCTGGCCAGAATTTGTTTTACTTTGATTTCTTAGTGATTGCCATTCTTTCTAGAATAAGATGGAATCTTAGTGTTGTTTTAATTTGTATTTCTCTAATGGCCAGAAATATTGAGCATGTTTTCATATGTTTGTTGAACATTTGTATTTCTTCCTCTGTGAAGTGTCTGTTCATTTCTCTTGTTCATTTCTTGACTGGATCTTTAGGTAGTTTAATTTTTTGTGTTCTTTGTATATTCTAGGTACTACTTTTCTGAGGAGTAGCTAGCAAAGTTTTTTTTTCCCATTCTGTAGGTTGTTTCTTCACTCTAGTGATTATTTTGCTGTGCAAATGCTTTTTAACCTGTTATAATCTCCTTTGATTCTTGCTGTCATTTCATGTGCAGTTGAGGTTTTATTTAGAAAATACTTTCATACATCTATGTCTTCAAGTGTTTTACCTATTTTATCTTCCAGTACATTTAATGTTTCTGTTTTAATGTTTAGATGTGTTTTTTTTTTTTTTTTTTTTTTTTTTTTTGGTACCGGGGTTTGAACTCGGGACCATGTGCTTGTGAGGCAGGCAGCAGAACCACTGAGCTAAATCCCCAGCAATGTTTAGATCTTTGATCCATTTTGATTTTAATTTAGTATATGGTGAGAGATAATGGTCCAGTTTCTATCTTCTGCATA